AGTTTATTTTTTCAGTTTCAATTTGCATTACAGAATTACTTTCAATTTGTTATGTTTCTTTGGTGCATAATTAAACAAACAACTATTTTTTTTTGCAGAAAAGTCAAATAAGCATGGCTTATGCAGACATGTGATAGAGATAGAGAAAGAAAAAATGATTATCGTGGGCACCAAATATCATAAGCTAACACGATTCAATAACAAGTAGCTCAGCCAATATCGAAACTACTCTATAAATTTTATAGTGAATTTTTTTATTTAAAACTCAATGCGTCAGTTTTTGGTTTAAGCTTACTGTTTGCAATATGTATATTTAACAGATAAGTTATGTTAAATAAATAAATTTTTATACTTGTATCATACATTCTTTTTTTTCTCTATAAATTTTCAATGTGGCGATGCAAATCATCTTATTTGTAACAACGATCTAATGTTGCATAAAACGTTAGGCCGATATATAACATACGATATTGGGCCAATGTTGTATACAACGTTAGGCCAATGTTGTATACAACATTGGCCTAACGTTATATACAACGTGGGGCCAATGTTGGGTAAACGTTGTATACAACATTGGGCCAATGTTGTACACAACATTGGGCCAATACCTAACCAATGATCAAACCTGCATTGGGCCAACATCGACTTTCAACGTTGGGCCAATGCATCATCATGCATTGGCTCAACGTTGGTCAAATGTAAGCTTGCTGTCTGGGTATTATCTTTTCATTTTTTTAAATTATAAAAATAAAAAAAAGAAGCTATATTTATTGATCTTTTAAGAATCTTAAAATATTTCTTATAAGAAATAAACTTCATGAGATTCTTGTGACTTAATGTTTTGTTTTTGTAAAAATGAAATATTTGTTAACATTTAAATAATATGCTCAAAACATTTTTTACTACGATCTAAATTATTAATGTAATAATACAGGCAATAAATAAAATATTTTTGTGTAAGATCTTTAAGTTATTTTTTTATTTTTATTGCTGAATGGGCATTTCAAATGTTTGATTTATTCAATAATCTTTATTAAATAAAGGAAACATTTCAAATGTTCGATTTATTTAATAAAAAAGACATTTTAAATGTCTTTTTTATTTAATAAATCAAACATTTAAAATGTCATACAGTATAACTTTTTTTTTTCATAATTTATTTATAATAGTTTAGATTATATAGCTATTATAAGATATATTATTAAAGGTATCAATAATACATATGTGGCCATGATGTTGTTAGAAGCTGATATTTTACATTTTAAATATGTCTCTTTTGTTTGATTTTTTTCGAGTTTGATTGTGAAACCCCATCTACTAACATATTAAAACAGTTCGCAAAAAGTGATGCGACTAGAATTTATATTTTACTTATGTAGAGCTTTTTAATATTCCATCTTTCTGAGGTAGAGGGACATTATTCTTGGTTTTTTTATTTTTTAAATTAATATATCTGGATATTTTTCATATTTAGTTTGTGTACAACAGTTAACAACTTTAAGCTTTGACAATATTAACTTTAGTTATAACTTAATTATTAATGATTTGATTTATAGATTTTTAAAGCAATACAAGATTGAATTTAGCATAAGGCTAAACTTCTGCTCTAGAGACAAAAAAGGAAGACAGCGAAAATGGCCAGTCAAAATAAAGATTGAAGAGACAAAAAATTGTGTATATTTTGGTGTAGATGATTTATCCTCAATTTTTTATAATAAAACAAAAAATATAATCAAACTTTGGGATTTACCTGTGACTCCAAAGTCTTTACAGAAGTTCAATGTTTGCTCTGAGAAGTTGAATTATTTACGCTCAAAGTTGAATTATTTACGCTCAAACTATTTTATTCGTAGTGATCTAATAGTATACTCTCCGAAATACCTGGAATCTATTATTGTTGAAATCGTCAATCCCCTTAAATAAAATATTATTGTTGACACTATATATCGACATCCATCAATGAACTCTAATGAATTCATTACTGGTCATTTTAATCCCTTGCTTGAGAGGCCTAGTTTAGAAAATAAACAAGTTGTCCTTAAGGGTGATTTCAATATGGACTTGTTAAATTATAATGAATCGAAAGTTATCTCTAGTTATCTTGATACATTATGTTCTTATTCTTTTTTCCCGTCTATAATTCAACCTACACGTATAACTGCTACATCTAAGACACTCATTGATAATATCTTTTTAAATTTCCAAACTCCTGATTTAATTTCAGGCAATCTTACTATATCAATTTCTGATCATATGGCATAGTTTATCTGCATTCCTTGTCTTTCTTCCAAAAAAACTAAGGAGGTAATATTCAGACGAACCTTCCAAAATTTCGATAATAAATAATTTATTAAGGATATCTCTAATGCAGACTGGCAAATACAAATTACAAATAACATAATGTACATGAATCATTGCACTATTTTTTTAAAACTTTTAACAAAATTCTTGATCAACATGCACCCTATAAAAAACTAACTGCTAAACAAATTAAACTTAAATCAAAACCTTAAGTTACCAATGGAATTCTAAAATCAATATCTATTAAAAACAAACTATATAAACAATATATAAAAGCAAAAAATCATAACATTAAAATTCATATTTTTAATAAATTTAAATGGTACAGAAATAACATTTGCAATTTACTAAAACTTTCTAAAAAATCATATTACATCAATTTTTTTAACAATAACCTTTACAATGTAAAAAAATATTTTGAAAGGTATAAAAGAAATTATTAATATCAAACCTTCTTCCTTTTCGAGTAAATCTATTAATCTCAAATTTAATGGCAATACAATTTCAGACAGCAAAGCTGTATCAAACATATTTAATAATTAATTTGTAAATACTCAACAAACACTGTTAACAAAAATTGTTTCACCTAAATGTAATTTTTCAGACTATTTAAATAATCCAAATATTAAATCCTTTTTTATAGATCCAGTCACTGAAAATGAAGTATTAAATCTTATAAAAAGTTTACAAAGTAAAAAAAGTTTAGGTATCAATAGTATTCCCACGTTTCTTCTCAAACTTGTTTTCCTTATCATCTCAAAGCCTCTCTGTACAATGATAAATAGCTCTTTTGAAAATGGACTTTTTCCAGATGTCTTTAAAATAGCTAAAGTTATTCCACCTTATAAAAAAGGCTCTAGAACTGACCACACTAACTATCGCCCAATTTCGTTACTGTCAAACATCAGTAAAATATTTGAAAAAGCTATGCACAACAGACTTTACAATTTTTTAGATAAATATCAATGTCTTTACAAACACCAATATGGGTTTCGAAGCAAGCATTCCACAACGCATGCACTTATTGAAATCAATGAGGTTATCAGAAAAGCTCTTGACAATAAGCTTTTTGGTTATGGTGTGTTTGTTGATCTACAGAAAGCATTTGACACTGTTGATCATTCTACTCTTCTAAGTAAACTGGAATACTATGGTATTAGAGGAATTTCTCTCCAATGGTTTACCTCATATCTTTATAATAGGTTTCAATTTGTATCTATTAACGGTAACACATCTTCTTTAGTAAAATGCACTACAGGTGTACCTCAAGGCTCTGTATTAGGGCCATTGCTTTTCCTTGTTTTCATTAACGACCTTAATTTATCATTAAAATATACAACTTCCTACCATTTTGCTGATGACACTAACTTACTTTTAATTAATAAATCATTAAAAAAAATAAACAAATATATTAATCATGATCTATCTAATCTAATTCAATGGCTTCGATCTAACAAACTGTCTCTGAATACTACTAAAACTGAAATTATCATCTTTAAATCAAAACAATCTAAAATTAGTAAACACCTAAATTTGTGGTCAAAAAATCAATCCAGTTACGTACCTAAAGTATCTTGGAATCAAAATTGACTCAAATTTAACTTTTTCTCAACATCTTAAGGACTTGTCAATAAAACTATGTAGATCGAATGGGATGTAAGCTAAAATTCGTCATTATGTCAATCTTGAAACTCTTATCAATATATACCATGCCATTTTTGGATCACATCTTAGGTATGCGTGTCAAATTTGGGGACAAATCCGCACCCAAGAAATTTTAAGATTCCAACTTACAAAACAAAGCATTAAAAATAATATATTTTCAGCATTATCAATCTAACTCCGATCATCTTTATTTTTTATCCAAAATACTCAAAATTGATGATCTAGTTCAATTATTAAATTGCCATTTTGTCTTTAATTATAAACAAAAATGTCTACCCAGCACATTTACAAATTTTTTACTGTTAGAGAAAGCTGTCGCTATCATCTACGATCTGCTAACAGCTATAATCTTCATGTACCAAATCATTCTTCTGTAAAATATGGTCTAAAATCCATAAAATACCAAAGTGTAAAATCATGGAACAGTCTACCTTCACCATTAAAATCAATTGACTCTATTACTAATTTCAAAACTGTCTTTTTAACTATTTTTTAGCAAGATATTATACCTGAAGACTCTCAAATATGTTGTTATGCTTTTATTATTACTACTTTCTTGATACCTATTAATTTTTTTATTATTTTTTTGTTCTCATATTTTTATTGTTATTATTAGTATTGGTATTAATGATATTCTTCTATCTTTATTAGTAAATTGTTATTTTTATTTATAACATAATAAGTACTATTATTGCTTTTTTAATTTTTTCTTAAATTTATTTACTACTTATACTATGTAATTGTTATTACCACTATTATTGCTATTACCTAATATTGATTGTATAATATCTTTATTATTATTGTAAGTATTATTACTAATAATATTCCTTCTTATCGTCATCTTATTATTATTGTTAATATTATTTCTATAATTATTATCAATACTATTATTATTGTTATTATAATCACTTTTATTGTAATGTTGCAGGTTTTTACTTTAGATTAGTACTTGTACTATTTGTAAAAGTCCTTGAAATTTTACAACTTATTTCAAAATATATTGAATTGAAAAAATTGAATTGAATTGAATGAACAAAATTTATTAAATGGTAAGTTTTTATATAAAAGTCTTTATGTCTTATGATTGAAAATCTTTTTTCATAGCTTTAACTTTTACAATTTAAAAGACTTTTTCATATATAATGGTCAAAAGGTCAGAGTGTTAATTAACATTTTATTGTATAATAATCAACATATCAAAGCTTATACCACAGGCTAAAATATGTAAAAAAAATTATTTACAAACATTGGACAAGGTCCGTACTGTACCTTGAAAATCTGGAAAATTTGTTAATATTGGCTAAAGTTGTGGAAAACCTGGAAAAGTCAGGGAATGATTTCTTTAGATAGTCATGAAAAAATCATTAATTCTAGTTAAGAAGTTACTCGTTTCACAATTGATTGCTGTGTTTTGAAAGCGTGATAAGTCACACTTTTTTTAAATGTGAGGTTATTTGAAAAGAATATTTTTTTTTTAAGAAAAGATAAAATTATAAGATAAAATCAAGATTTTTTTAGAATAAATAAAGATTTTTTTTAGATGAAAGAAACAATTTTTAGATAAACTAAAAATAAATTTTTTTACAGGAGAAATGTTTTTCATTCTCTTGTAAAATTTTAATTTTGTGACTTGTCACATTTTCAAAATACTCAATTAAGCTATGTTTTTTTTTGGTGCAACCCATTTATATTCTCTGAAATCTATATTTTTTATTAGTATTCATTCTTAGTCATCCTTAATAATAAGATCCATACTAACATGTATAGTGAGATTTATACTAATATCCAACTTAACTAATAGCTAAGTTTTATAAGTTTTGTCATTCAAAGCAGGTACAATCTTAGCATTTCCATTACAGTAGATAGTAATTTTAAACATTTTGTAAAAACCATTGTTAAAAATGGTCAGGGAAATTCATCTGAGTTTTCATAAAGATCATTGAATTTTATAAAAATAGTTGGCTACAAACCCTGTTGGAGAAACATTGTTTTAATATGAAATTTTTTGTTTTACAGTGCAATCTGTATCTTAAACATTATTTGTATTGTGTCAGTGCCAGAAAATGAATACACACCTGCTAATTTCACAATTCATAAAAATATTATAAATCCATTAGCAAGTATGAATTTTTATCATTAAAAATTTGCCCCTCTGTCTTTAATTTTATCTGTTTTATTAGTGATTGTTGTATTTACTTTCATAAATTCTAAATATTATATGTAATTAGTTGTATAGTTTCATAATAATATAATTAACTTGTATACAACATTAGCCCAATATAAATGTTAGGCTAATATATTGTTGTATACAATATTGAGCCAATGTTGTATAGAACATTGGCCTAACGTTATAAACAACGTTGGGCCAATGTTGGATAAACGTTGTATACAACATTGTTTCAAGATAAAGTTGTATCCTTGAAAGACATGCTGGTATTATTGGCACAATGGGCAAGCATTAAAGTGCAACTTGGTGAACTACAAAACACATCAAATTCAGTTATAAAAATTTGAGTAACAAAGGTATGCTAATTGTTGTATTGCCTGAAAGAGTGTCATTGTCATTAAAAGCAATAAAGAATTCAAGTACTCTCGAAAAAAAAGACAAGAAAATACTTAAGTAAATGGTAAATATTTTTTAATGATCTGATTATGCATTTTGTATGATATCTTAGTGCAATTTATAAACTTTAAATAAAATACTCTTTGAAGATTTTTTGTAAATTACATTTTATATTAATTTAAGTCTAAACAAAAGTTACTTTAATTATTGCCAAGTTGTGTATTTTTGCAGGTCAATTATTTGTCACAAATTGGAGTTAAAGACGAATGAAATTGTATATGTTATTTACTAAGAATAGTTTTTTAAAATGGCCTAGCTGTAAAATTAAACTATGCCGGAAGAGGACAAAAATTGGAATAGGAAAAATGTTGATTGCATATGTTGCTATTGGTAAGTAGTTTAGAAAAAATTATTTTTTTAGTTTTAATTTTGCATTACAGAATTACTTTCAATTTGTTATGTTTCTTTGGTGCATAATTAAACAAACAACAATTTTTTTTGCAGACTCTGTGAAGTCAAATAAGCATGGCTTATGCAGACATGTGATAGAGAAAGCGAAAGGAAATATAATAACCGTGAGCACCAAATATTATAAGCTAAACACGATTCAATTACAAGTAGCTCAGCCAATATCGAAACTACACTATAAATTTTATAGTGAATTTTTTTATTTAAAACTCAATGTTTTAAGTTTGCTGTTTGCAATATGTATATATAAATGAGAAATTATGTTAAATAAAAAATGTTTATACTTGTATCATACATTCTTTTTTTCCTCTGTAAATTTTCAATGTAGCGATGCAAATCCTCTTATTTGTGACAACGATCTTATGTAGCATAAAACGTTAGGCCGATATCTTGTTGTATACAACATTGGCCCAATATAAACGTTAGGCTAATATATTGTTGTATACAATATTGAGCCAATGTTGTATACAAAACTGGCCTAACGTTATAAACAACGTTGGGCCAATGTTGGATAAACGTTGTATACAACATTGGGCCAATGTTGTACACAACGTTGGGCCAATACCTAACCAATGATCAAACCTGCATTGGGCCACCAGCGACTTTCAACGTTGGGCAAATGCATTATTATGCATTGGCCCAACGTTGGTCTAATGGAAGCTTGCTGTCTGGGATATATATATATATATACATATATATATATATATATATATATATATATATATATATATATATATAATATATATATATATATATATATATATATATATATATATATATATATATATATATATATATATATATATATATATATATATATATATATATATATACATATTTACATATATATATATATATATATATATATATATATATATATATATATATATATATATATATATATATATATATATATATATATATATATATATATATATATATATATATATATATATATATATATATATATATATATATATATATATATATATATACATAAGACAAACTTATTTTAAGGTTTTTGTTTGTTTAGAATAAACAACAATATAAAAAAAGAGAGCAATATTATACGAAAAAAAAATACATGTCCCAGACAGCAAGCTTACATTGGCCCAATGTAATTTTTAACATCGGCAAGTTTATTCCGTTGGGCCAACATTTAGCCAATGTTTTTTTCGGCGTATTTTTTTCAATTCTGCAAATCTGTTTTTTGCAAATATCGTACTATATTGGGCCAACATTTAGCCAATGCTTTTTTTTTCGGCGTAATATTGCAATTCTACAAATCGGTTTTTTTCAGTTATCGTACCAATGTTTGGCCAATGTAGTTTAGGCTGAATATTCGGCCAATGTAGTTTCGGATTAGTCTATACTTTTAAACATTTTTTATAAATGGTATCGTTTGACAGAACAAAAAAAGGTTTTGATACTATTATTTATCTTTCCATTTATTTAAATTATAAAAATAAAAAAAAGAAGATTTATTAATCTTCTAATAAGAAGTAAATTTTATCTTCTAATAAGATTATTAATCTTCTAATAAGAAGTAAACTTCAAGAGATTCTCGTGACTTAATGTTTTGTTTTTTTAAAACGAAATATTTGTTAACATTTAAATAATATGCTTAAAACATTTTTTACTACAATCTAAATTATTAATGTAATAATAAAGGCAATAATCAAATTATTTTTGTGTAAGATCTTAAAGTTATTTTTTCATTTTTATTGCTGTATTCGCCTTTCAAATGTTTGTTTTATTTAATAATCTTTATTAAATTTTATTATTATTTTATAAAATTTATTTTTATTATTTATAAATAAATGAAACATTTCAAATGTTTGATTTATTTAATAAAGAAGACATTTTAAATGTCTTCTTTATTAAATAAATCAAACAATAAAATGTCACACAGTATAATTTTTTTTTTCATTATTTATAATAGTTTAAATTATATAGCTATTACAAGATATATTATTAAAGGTATCAATAATATATATGTGGCATTGAAGTTGTTAGAAGCTGATATTTTACATTTTAAATATGTCTCTTTTGTTTGATTTTTTCTGTGTTTGATTATGAAACCCTGTCTACTTACATTAAAACAGTGTACAAAAAGTGATGTTACTAGAACTTATATTCTACTTATGTAGAGCTTTCTAATATTCCATCTTTCCGAGGTAGAGGGACATTATTCTTGGTTTAATTATTTTTTAATTTAATATCTCTGGATATTTTTTATATTTAGTTTGCGTACAACAGTTAACAACTTTAAGCTTATACGTTAACTTTAGTTATAACTTAATTATTAATGATTTGATTAATAGATTTTTAAAGCAATACAAGATTGAATTTAGCATAAGGCTAAATTTCTGCTCTGGAGACAAAAAAAGAAGACAGCGAAAATGACCTGTCAAAATAAAGATTGAAGAGACAAAAAATTGTGTATATCTTGGTGTAAATGATTTATCCTCATTTTCTTATAATAAAACAAAAAATATTATTAAAGTTTGGGATTTACCTATAACTCCAAAGTCTTTACAGAAGTTTAATGTTTGCTCTGAGAAGTTGAATGAACAAATTTATTAATGGTTAAGTGTCTAATGATTGAAAATCTTTATTCATAGCTTTAACTTTTACAATTTTAAAAACTTTTTCTTATATTACGGTCAAAAAGTCATGGTGTTAAATAACATTTTAGTATGTAATAATCAAAATATCAAAGCTTACACCACAGGCTTGGTCAGGAAGCAGGAGCAATCGTTCTCGAATACTGATCACAGAAAATATATTTAGTTGCGAAAAACTGGCCAGGTTTTTTAGTTGTTTTAAGAACATTAAAGTTTATGAACGTAACAAAAAATTTTTGTTGGATTTCAAAGTTGATGTCACTAACTTTGAAAACCATTTAAAATCAAATATTGAAAAAAACAACAGTATTTGTATTTATATCAGTTTAAAGTTTTTCATATCAGTTTAAAGTTTTAACAGTTGATGGTGATTCATTATTATTTATTGTATAAACGTTTATTTAAATTTATCTAATAGACGAAGGTAATACAATATTTTTATAGATGATATTATTTTTAAAAATAGTGTTATTAAAATTCAGAACTAAAATATGTAAAAAAAATTATTTACAAACATTTGACAAGGTCCGTACTGTACCTTGAAAATCTGGAAAATTTGTTAATATTGGCTAAAGTTGTGGAAAACCTGGAAAAGTCAGGAAATTATTTTTTTATTTAGATAGTCATGGAAAAATCAGTAATTCTAGTTAAGAAGTTACTCGTTTCACAAATGAACGCTGTATTTTGAAAACGTGATGAGTCACACTTTTTTTAAAAGTGAGGTTATTTGAAAAGAATATTTTCATAAAAATATTCTTTTCAAATAACCTCATTTAAAATAAAAAAATATTAAGATAAAATAAAGATTTTTTTAGATAAAATAAAGATTTTTTTAGATAAAATAAAGATTGTTTTAGAGAAAAGAAACAATTTTTAAATAAAATAAAAATAAAAATTTTATAGGAGAAATATTTTTCACTCCCTTGTAAAAATTTTATTTTTTGACTTGTCACATTTTCAAAATCCAACGCTCAATTAAGCTATTATGTTTTTTTTGTTTTATTTTACAGGAGAAATATTTTTCACTCTCTTGTAAAGTTTTTATTTTGTGATATGTCACATTTTCAAAATCCAACGCTCAATCAAGTTATTATGTTTTTTTTGGTGCTACCCATTTATTTTTTCAGAAACTTATGTTTTTCTTAGTGTTCATTCTTAGTCGTCATTAAGTATAACTTGGTAAACTACAAAACACATCAAATTCAGTTATAAAAATTTGAGTAACTAAGGTATACTAATTATTGTATTGCCTGAACGAGTGTCATTGCTATTAAAAGCAGTGAAGAATTCAAGTACTCTGGAAGAAAAGAAAATATGTAAGTAAATGGTAAATATTTTTTTATAATTTTTTTATGTATTTTGTTTGATATCTTAATACAATTTATATACTTTAAATAAAATACTCTTTGAAAATTTTTTTTAAATTACATTTTATATTAATTTATTCTAAATAAAAGTTACTTTAATTATTGCCAGGTTGTGAATTTTTGCAGGTCAATTATTTGGCACAAATCGGAGTTAAAGACAAAGGAGATTGTATATTTTATTTGCGAAAAATAGTTTTTTAAAATGGCCTAGTTGTAAAATTAAACTATGCAGGGAGAGGACAAAAAATTGGAATAGAAAAAATGTTGATTGCATATGTTGCTATTGGTAAGTGGTTAAGAAAAGTTTACTTTTTCACTTTCAATTTTCCATTACAGAATTACTTTCAATTTGTTATATTTCTTTGGTGCATAATTAAACAAACTATTTTTTTTTGCAAAAACTGTGAAGTCAAATAAGCATGGCTTATGTAGACATGTGATAGAGATAGAGGAAGAAAAAATAATAATCGTGGGCACCAAATGTCATAAGCTAAACACTATTCAATAACAAGTAGCTCAGCCAATATCGAAACTACTCGATAAATTTTATTGTGAATTTTTTTATTTAAAACTCAATGTGTCAGTTTTTGGTTTAAGTTTAGTGTTTGCAATATGTATATTTAACAGATAAGTTATGTTAAATAAATAAATTTTTATACTTGTATCATGCATTTTTTTTTTTTCTCTATAAATTTTCAATGTAGCAATGCAAATCATCTTATTTGTAACAACGATCTAATGTTGCATAAAACGTTAGGCCGATATATAACATACGATATTGGGCCAATGTTGTATACAACGTTAGGCCAATTTCGTATACAACGTTGGGTCAATGTTAAATACAACGTTGGGCCAATGTTGGGTAAACGTTGTATGCAACATTGGGCCAATGTTGTACACAACATTGGGCCAATGTTGTACACAACATTGGGCCAATACCTAACCAATGATTAAACCTGCATTGGACCAACATCGACTTTCAACGTTGGGCCAATGCATCATCATGCATTGGCCCAACGTTGGTCCAATGTAAGCTTGCTGTCTGGGGTTTATTTTGTGAAAATATTCAAAACCATATAAATATTGAAAATGACTCAAAAAAAGAAAATTCAATTTATTGATTTAGTTGTTTATAAGCATAGAGCAAATGCATTTTATGATCTTTTAAAAGAAAAAAAAGATGGTTTAAAAATTTGCTTTGACAACCAACAAAACCAAGTCATCCCTAAAGTTCCAGATCAGCAAGCTTATTATAGTAGACAACTGCACATATACAACTTATGTGTTGTAGAAAATTAAAATAACGGATCTTTAAGTCAAGATAATGTCACTCTCAATACTTGGAATGAGATTACTAACCCTGACGGAGAAAGATCCTTTACGAAAATATTCCATGGATTTCCATGGGTACTTCAAGTAAAACCCATGGTATTCTAATAATATACTATAGTTTTCCCATCGAAAACAGAATTTTCATGGGTGAATTTCCATGAAAGTTTAAATCCCATAGATTTCCATGGGTGAACTATGTTTTTTTGTTCATTGCTCATATTGCACCATGGGTTTTACGAATGCCTTTTTAAAGATGCCGTCATATCTCATTATTTATTTAATTTAAAAGCTGTCTCAATAAAATAATGAAAATAATAGATCGGACAAAAAAAAAAAAGCTTTTTTTAACTTGCAATTTATAAGTAATAATATATTTGTTGCTGCCTTGTTCTATATAAATGTTACTAACATGTTACTAACCAAATATATATATATATATATATATATATATATATATATATATATATATATATATATATAATATATATATATATATATATATATATATATATATATATATATATATATATACATATATATACATATACAAATATATATATATATATATATATATATATATATATATATATATATATATATATATATATACATATACAAATGTATATATATATACATATACAAATGTATATATATATATATATATATATATATATATATATAATATATATATATATATATATATATATATAAATATATATATATATATATATATATATATATATATATATATATATATGTATACATATACACTATATATATATATATATATATATATATATATATATATATATATATATATATATATATATATATATATATATATATATATATATATATATATATATATATATATATATATATATATATATATGTATATATATATATAAACATACATATATATGATGCTTTTTTTTTTTCCTTTTTTTTTTATTAGTTGATTAAGGTGCCCCAAGAAGTCCTTACGGTCTTATCACAGTGCACCACGGAAGAGCATTTAATGAGAAGTTCACTCCTCCTTCTCAACCAATGTCGCAAAACATGCCCAGAGGTGGGGTTTGAACCACGAATCTTATGTTTCTGAGGCAAGTGCCGTAACACTGCGCCACGGCTGCTTTATGAGCGGTTCTCACTAAAGTTAAATCTTCTGATGAAATATATATGAAATTTATGCCTTCAGTGTTTTCATTGCAGTTTTTATACATTGTTTGTGGAGATAAAATATGATTACCAATATCTCTTTGCAAACTTGCTAGTGTTGCCAATGGTTTGACTGGCACGTTTTACTGTGACCAGTTGCAAAAAAGTTCCATTTAGCAGTTAAACCAAAATATTCACATGGGAAACAAAGATTTAACATTTCTTTGCAATTCTTAAATTGACCTGCACACATATCTAAAAAGTATTCAATATTTTTTATTTGAGGCAAATTTGTTTTTAAATCATTGCAAACAACCTCAATAATTTTATAAACCATGTTTACATCATGGATCATATAATCCGAAATAATCCAATAAGATTTGTGCTTGAGACTGCCTTCTTTTTGGAAATAAATAATCACTGGATGAAGTGTACATTATAAGTTTGTCCAATGAGAGCTTTGCACTTCATCGCGAGCTACAAATTTATAGTTTTCTGAAAATTCACCCAGAAAAAATGCTGTTACCTCACTTATATCTTCCTTTCTTGATCTCAGGTATTATGCTTGACTCTTTGTTAAATACGAATGTGGCGCAAGTTTTTCCAGTTTTCTACATACTAGTTCAATAAATTCAAAAACTGGCTCTTTATTATGTGTCAAGTTTGACATATCTGTTATTGCCCATTGATCAAATTTAATCTCATCATCATCTTCAAGTTCTCCAAGTATATTATAAAGTTTTTCAACCAATGCATTCATAGTTGCTTGGCATTTTTCACATTTCCTCATCATACAGTCTTTATTAGTTATATCACAGACATTATAAGGTAACAATTATTTGAAGGTCACACCAAGAGGATGTAAAAGCAGTTTCAAATTCTGATGAATAGCACAGACGCATACAGATTGTGTTCCTGAGGCACTAACAGTAATACACCATTAAGGCCGTAAGGTGCAAAACCTTAAAAATCCTATTTTTATTTCTGGGTTCTTGGTTTTATAGGCAACAAACAATTTCTTTAAATTACATAAGAGCAAACCTTTTTGCATGTGGAAGTTTTTCTTTTTACTTATATAGTCCTTTTTATCAGGCATTATACGGCTATGTTCATCGTCTTCGTAAAAGATCCTGACCAGTTGAACTGTTACATCAGGAAGAGCTTTTCCTAATTTAGGATTAGGCATGGTTAAAATACCTTTTTCTAATGTTAACTTACGTGCAGTTCGAGCTACATAGTTTGTTGTATGCAATGTTTCAGATACCTTTTTTATTGACCAGTCTGTTGGAGCAAGTGTTGCAAGATGTACTATTTTTGATGTTGATGTAGACTCTGAAATTTTGTTAGTTAACAATACCATCATGCAATCAAACAAGTATGCTTTTTCCATATACTCATTATTAAAACTTGACTGTTCTTCAAAACTTTCTTCTAATATATTAAGGGAAATGGCTACCTTTTTTTTTAATGGAGGTTGTTAACAGAGCCGCCTCGAAGAGGTCTTTTATGGGGGAGGGGGTGTATTTTTTTTTTGCTAGAAAATTCTCAACCCTTTAAAATTTACAGCAACTTGAAGTTAGTTATTTTTTGACCGAAAAAAGAGGGGGGATAAAGCCGTAAATATGTTAATTTACCATTACCCTTTTAACAAACTTGTAGTAAGAACTAGAAACACCGAAAAAAAAAAACGGTCCTCATTATTTGCAATTTGCCAACTATAGTTCAAAACTTGCTCAATGTGCCAACTCAAATGCTTAAATGACAGCTTTGGGGAAGGGGGATAGAGCACCCCGACACCCCATCCCTTTGGGACGGCCCTAGTTGTTAATGCTATCAATTTTCGTTAATCTTCTTTGATTTTTCCTGACTTGTGCAATCCTTTGACCTAAATTTGAGATACTCCGGCAGATGCAAAGTGGGAAATGGCTACTTTTTTTTTAATGGAGGTTGATAATGCTGTCAATTAGTTGCATGCAAAGTGTGTATCTACACTCTCTTTTTTATTTTGAATGGATCTCTCATTAACAATATCTAAATCTTCATCATTTTTATTTTTACTTATACATTTTGATAAAAATGTCATAACTTTACTTCGACAGGTTGTACATAGTTTTTTTCCAGGTATAAGATTTAAACCTATGGTTTCTCCTTCTAACACAGTATGCATTTTAATCACACGTAGAGATTCTTATAGAGAAAGTAATTACATTACTTAAATAACATAAATTGTATATATATTATGTAATTATATTTCTATTCAATTTTGTTATATTAATAACTATGAAACATTGAACAAATCTTATTACCAAAAAAAACTTATATGACTTATTAATAATGATATTACCTAATGAAATATAAATATATAAGTATTTACTTTTACACACCTTTTGGTGACTCAGAAATGGATTACAGCAACTTTTCTGATTACCCTCATATCTTACAATTAACATATCATGATAGTGTGTGCATATATTAGTAATTTATTCTTGTTTCAGATTTGTTCGTTTTTCAAGTAGCTTACAATCATTGCTGTCAGTATCTTCAATCAGATTTCTTTCTTGAGTATATGATTGTTTATAACAAGCTCCATAATTGTTTACAAAGCAGCAATTAATTTTGTTATCCATATAAAAATATAATGAGAAATCTGTCTAAACACTTAATACAAGAAATCTTAAATAATCTTAATGTCCCTAACAAAAAAAGTACACTTGAACACAAACAATATCATATCAATATGTATTTATAAAGAACATATTGCTTGAACAAGTAGCTATGAGTTTGATAGACATATTTTAAATGCGTAACTATCTGCTAATTATTGTCCATTAACTACAAAAAGTTGTGTAAAAGCAAAAGATAACTAAATATAATTTTATTTAGTTATGTAACTTAACATGGTAATGTTAATTAGACATTATCATACCATTTTATTACTTTTTTTATTGATGATAATGTTTTATTACAACAAAACAATCAACAACAAAAGTTACATAATATTGTTAAATTTAATGGCATGATATTTTGTATTGAAAATGACATTATTATTATGTAATGAAAGTAAAAAGAAACAAATTTATAAAATGTTCAACTATATTTTGTAATAACTTTGTAATTTTTTTACAAAGCTATTACAAAACAAAAATAATTGTATTTGTATTCGAAAAATATTTGCAAATTTTTTTTCTTTGCAAAATATCTTTAGAAAAATTGAAACACTAAAACATCAATAACTCCTTGATAAAACATAAGGCCTAATAAAAATTGGTTCGCAAAGTAGATATATGTTTAACATTTAAAATAACAAAAACCAAAACTTTTCTCATCAGTCAGATTTTTTCTAGAACTATAGTCGTCAATGGCCTTTTTTATTGTCATTAACAAGTGCGTTTTGTGGATTTAAAAATAAGCTATATTTTATTGTTTTAAGAGATATAAGTTTATGATTTTCAGATTCAGCAGGTTTTAAACTCCTTTGGTACCAAGATATAGCTTCAAAACATTACTACAAGTTTGTTAAAAGGGTAATAGTAAATTAACATATTTCCGGCTTTATCCCCTTTCTTTTTTCGGTCAAAAAATAATTTACTTCAAGTTGCTGTAAATCTTAAAGGATTGAGAATTTTTTGAAAAAATTTTACAGTCTTTCCTAACTTATACCTTTAAACATTTGTCCCAAATTTCAGCGAATTTGGTGATGCAGGGTGCAACTCCTTTTTTTGAGCAATTTTTAACCATTAGTAAATAAATTTTAATTTTATTTTTTATAATATCTAAATAAAAATAATTATCTGAATATCTTTTATTTTTTTATACATTTTTTTTACCAACCAAAATAAAAATTCGTAAGTTAGGGTCCGCAAATGAAAAAACATAATATAAATAAATAATTTAAATATAAATAATTTAAATAAAACATTAAAAAAAATTAAATGTTTTTTCAAGTTACTTAATATAAAAAATTTCAGTTAGAACCTTGTTTAATCAACAACTTGCCGATTAATTTATAGAAAGATGGGACGTCACACACACTACAAGAATTCAACGCAATGCAAATAAAAGATGAAAAAATAAAAAGCTTTAGAAAAACTCTTAAAGCGTTTAGAAAGAGATTGTTTTCACTTTTTATTATTTGTTCTTTAAAGCAACTATAAAAAATTTTTAATTTAGAAATAAGCTAGTTATTTTCTAGGTAAGAATGGGTAATATTTTGGCTAATTTTACTAAAAGTTACATATGAACCTTCGTTAAAATAAGGCAGTTAATTTTTAAATCTACAAAAAATACTACTGCACAAACTATATTCCTAGAGAGATAAAAAAAAATCTTTGCCGACGAAATGTTTTTTGAGAACGTTCAAAACCTATAGTTAAACAAAAAAGCAAAATATAAGGTTCAAAGATGTATTAAAGATTGTCCAAAACGTTGATATTTATATCTAGTATTAAGGTATTCAAAAAACAATTGCTTTACCTTATACTGTAATTTTTATTTTGATTAATTCTTCATAGTGTAAACAATAGTAAAAAATTCATCTAGTCAAGTTAAATTTGGAAAAACAAATTTAAAAGTTTGTTTTTTTAAATTTAACAGGTAGTATCACTTTCTATACTGTAATATCATTTTCTAAACTGTATAACTATTTTCTAAACTTTCATACATAATTATCTAAACTGTATAAACCTGCAAAATCACCAGATAACATTTAAATGAAAATACCAGAAAACCTGCACATACACAAGTAATAACATTTAAATTTTTAATAGGTTATATAAATAAACTGTATCAACAAGAAAACGGGCAATAATTTTTTTCCTTTTTGCTAATCAAAACTGTTGCATAAATATTAAGCATTTGTATCAATGCTTTCTCCAATCATGTACATATCTGCTTGCAAATGAGTCTAATTACAAACGCACTTAACTAAATAAATAATGGAGATAAAAATCAGAGTCAATTCATTGCAGAAATGAATAAATAACTTGCTATAAAATGCTTTATGATTGACATAGAAAAAAACCATTATCACATTCTGAAGAACACATATAATACAACATTATCAACGCTTTGCGAAAAATAAGTTTTGAATACAAATCGAAAAAATTATAAAAATAAAATTTAAATAATAACATAAAAAAAATTACCCATAAAACATCCCTGGAAAAACCTTGCCATAACAGCCCAGTTATAATTGAATGAAAAACCAAACATCAAAGTGGAAAGTACAACGCCTCCTGCACTCATCAAAAGTGATAACTTTCTTCCCCATTTATCGCAAAAATATCCCCATATTGAGC